ACGACGATGAGGACGACGATGTTTCTAATTTAGGAGATTAAAATATATGTTTTTATTTTTCTTATTATCAATACATTTTAGTATTTCTTGATTAATTTACTTTTTAAGACTTATTTTATTATTGTGTTGACTATTTTATATCAATTATATTATTCTATTTTATTATAAATTTTCTTCAAATTTATATTTTTATTAATTAATATTGTAAAAAAGAAAATACTATTTGCGACGACATATCTAAGGTGTCGTCGGAAATAGTTCACATTACTAGCGAGGTTTAGTCGCAAAGGTTTTAAACACTTTTGCGACGACACTATGTTGTCATAAATACGGTATGACACGTCATCATCAACGACATATTCGATGGAACATTCTTGACGAATTCTTCAAGACGACTGTCGTCGCTAATATATTTGCGACGACATGTCAAAATTTTATCGTCGTAAATATATCATTTGTGTCTAATTTTTTGCAGTGACTAATTTGCAACGACTTGTCATCGAAAATATAGTATTTACGACGACAAATCACCTATTTGCGATGACATTGAGTCGCCGCAAATGACCTTTTTTGTTGTAGTGTGTGTGTGTTGTCCCACATGGAAAGTGGACGAGAATGTGAAGTGTTTTATATACATAGAAGGGCCCAATACCTAATAGGTTAACCTTTTGGGTCAAGTTCAACTCCTTAAGTGTGTTGGGTCAATTTTGCATGTGGTGTCTCCCCAACAGATTGTTATGTTAGACTAATTTCACATGTGATGTCTCCCTAACAGATTGCTATTGCATTTAGTAGATCATCTGGTAAATTACTTTCCTGAGACTATAACGTAGATGTCTGATCACTGATGTCCATGGTTAGTTTTGATTGTGACAACAACACACAAAAGATAAACTACTAAGAGCAATCGATAATCAGATAGGCAATTTTGACAAAATACATTTTGTTGAGTTTTGACTGGTCTTTTAGAATGACAGAAATCTTAAGCCTTTTATTAGACTGACAACATAACATGCCACATTCAGGAGCCATTCCTAAAGTTTGCTCAAATTTATAAAGATAACAAAGGAAAATATAAAAGAGTATCGAGGAAAAACTTTACATATAGCAAGAGCAGGGATTGTTAGTCTTGATCGCATTTGGTAATTTCCTTCTCTATGTGATCTATCTAGTAGCCATGTTATCTTCATTTTTCTTTTCAAAACAGGTTAAATGAGCTGCAAGTGCTTGAACTTTTAATTAAGTGTGGAAATTTTATACCCAAACTACTTTTATGAGAAAAATCTCAAAAAATTAAATTTTTGGTAGCGATGATAGTTCAATCATTGGGGTTTAGAAAACAAATCATAAGGTGTATGCGCAACGCACTTAACTTAGTGTTTTGAGGAAAACGAATGTAATTTGCTAAGAAATACAATCTATTTCAGCTCTAAAAAAAACCAAGCCCTAGGGGCACTGAGAGGAGGTCGGGTGTCTCGTGTTAGGGGTGCTGCAAGCGAGTGATCTCGCAGGGGCGGTTTGCAATGGTAATGATTGTATTGGGTTGCGAGAGGATAGCGGTTGCGGGCGGTGATTTGTGGTGCAATGGCATGCCAATTTACATGATGGATGGTGGAGTTGGAGAAGTTAGCATGTGAGGATTGCTTGGTGGGAGATTTTGGTAGTTAGGATTTCAAATGAGTGTTGAAAAAGAATCAAAGGAAATCAGAATAAATGAGATCAATCACTGAGATTATTTAAACATTTTGTTCTTTTGATTGATTTCCTAGGTTATTTTGTAATTTTCTTAAAACAAAATGGTCATTTGCCATGACATGACACATTTCGTCAAAATTTAACGGACTTATTAGATTGAACTTCCATTGCAACTAAAAGTTTTGCCAATAAATTGGGATTGTCACAAAATGTTTAGAGACATTGACTCTTTTTACTTAAAAAGTTTTATATTGCAGTGACATTAACTCTTTTGAAATGGATCAATCCCTTTCTAGCTAGGTCCATGCAATATGTGTTGGAAAGCCAATTAAATATTTTACATTGCTATTGTATTCCGAGCTATGTTCGAGCTATTTAGGGGTTGTTCTTTTGCAACAAAACTCAAAAAAAGTTTGAATTCGAGTTACAACTTTATTCAAATTTATGTTCTTTTGTAAAATTTGAGTTTGAACTCGAGTTTTAACTCGAGTTTGGGGCTAAACTCGAGTTCAAGTTTCCTCTTAAACTCGAGTTCATAAACTCGAACTCAAGTTAATGAACAATATTTTTTCTATTATTAAAAATGCAATAACTTTTTCGTTTTAATTCTGATTGAGATGATTTTTTTTCTATGCATTCACAACGAAAAGACGAATAAAACCCCACCCATATACCCTATTAAAATTTTTCATCACCATTGAGTTTTTATTAAAATTCTATGTAAATACAAATTTACGTTTTGACTCACCCAAATACAAACTCAAAAAAATTCTCAAGTCAAATCATAACTCAAATGTGCATGATGCTAAATATTTTTGTATAATAATAAATTTCCGCAAGCGTACGGTGTCAAGTTTTGAGTATAGGGTGAGTGAGTATCGTCTCCACAGGGATTGGGTTTAGAATTGCCGTTAAGTACCGTGATTATTGTAACTTAACTTTATCTAGGCAACCTAATAAGATGATGATTAAGAACTAAAACAAAATAAGTATAAAAAATAAAAATAAAGTATCTATACACAAATGGTCTAGGGACTTGATTTCGCTTTATTATTCCTATGTTCATCCTATTATGTAATCGCTAATCAATTCCATTCAATTCATTAATCAAGGCTCTAATGTCACGTCGCAACCTTTCTCGAGTGCCTCACAAGGAATTGTATTTAAATATCCAAACAATATCCCAATTCGAAATGAATATTAAAACACAAATTAAGCTTCGCCTTTAGAATTAGAAAATAGGAATATTGATCGCCTCTCGGCCTCACAACGACCTAAATCCTAATTTGATTATCTAACCGTTGATCTCCTCTCGGTCTCACAACAACCTAGACTATGTTTCTCAAATCTAGATAAAGAACTCAATCTCTCTCGAGCATCAAATTCGCAATCTAAAAATCATCTAACTCATTGACCAAATAAATTAGAAGCATTAAGCATAGAGAAACATAAATGAATTGAAAACAAAATTAAATTAACAATCAACAAAATATTCAAAACATAGTTCAAATAAAACTACATCAAGTCCTAGATTTAATGTCTAGCTCAACATGGAAAAATAGATGAAAGAAGATAAAACCCAATATCCATTGAAGAGCTTCCAAGGACCTCCAAGATGAAGGATTTCGGCCTCCTTTTGATGTTTTCTTCAGATTTCCGGGTTCTCCTTCTCAAATGGCATATCTTTCCTTTTATACTACAACATTTCAGAGCTAAGGCTCATACGCGCGCTGCAGCCTGCGTGAAAACGTGTTGCGGCGCGCATTTTTGGAAAAGGATCCTGCTGTTGTGGGCTGGGGCGCGCTGCATCGTGCGGGGCTGCCGTCTGGGCGCGCTGCAGCGTGCGTTCCCGCTCTGCATTTCAGAGCTAAGGCTCATACGCGCGCTGCAGCCTGCGTGAAAACGTGTTGCGGCGCGCATTTTTGGAAAAGGATCCTGCTGTTGTGGGCTGGGGCGCGCTGCATCGTGCGGGGCTGCCGTCTGGGCGCGCTGCAGCGT